CTCGCCCGAAAGCGATCTGGACCACCTCTACAATGGGCAATCCTAGCTCCTAGCTTCCCCAAGCACATTCCCCTGCAAAACAACTAAAATATGGAAGATCCAGACAATATTAGTTCGAGGAATCCAATCCCAGAGTGGGTCAGCTCCAAACAAACAAAGGACCACCCCCAATTCGTAGTACGCAGGTGGGGAGACTGGCAGACTTGAGAAAACAAGGATGTTCAATGAAAAAGAAAGCTCTGACTGGAAACCAAGCCCAAACATTGGCTAAATAATGCCAAATATGGGTACGCATGGGTCCAATCCAGGAAATGAAAAGGTCCTTTAAGTAGCTTTCACAGAGTTCGCCCCACAACCAGCTGCGACCCTTCTGTCACAAAGATGCGGAACTGCCCATGTTTGGCAGGCTGCCCTTTTATGTCCTTAAAAAGGAACGTGGGTATGTGCCCAAATCGGCACAACCCTAATTTTTTGTGTTTCTTTCCTTCCAGTCCCCCTTAAAACCAACACGAAACCCAAAAAAAAGAGCCACACCCGCATGGATGAATGGCACCCCCGTTGGTTCTGGGGCTTCTCGCGGTGCAGCTGGCGAATTCCGGCTCTGCCGCCACGAAGGTGGCAATGCACAGCCCCGTCGCCCAAGCCTTTTTGGGGGGAGAAGTGGAATTTTCTAGAGACCCCATAAAAAGAGAACAAAACACAACAATTAAAAAAAAAGAATAAATAAATAACTAAATAAATGAATGAATGAATAAATAACATAAAGTAAAAATATAAAAAAGGGGAGATGAAAAAAAGAGGGCACCACCTGGAGGCCTGGGCTTGTGAGCGGCCCCCGCCTGTCGGCCTTGCTCCACCTTGTTCTCCAACGCCTGCCGGCCCAGACTCTCCCCTGCTAAGAGCGCAGCCCCAAGTCTCCCAAAGGATGGGCCTCAGCAGTTTGACTGCTTGGTCGAAGTTCAGGACTAAAGCCACATCCTTTTTGTCCCTCAGCACTATGTTGATTCCGCTTCCGGTATCAAAGTCTGGGACTAACCCTTCAACCATTCTGGGTAAACTGCGCTGGGCTTTCCCTTTGCAGATCCCTCCTCATTAGGGTTCCCACGCCATTGTCCCACAAGAGGTGGGAGAATCGAAAGCAGATGCAGAAAGGGCCCCTCGAGCCAAGGTCGCACCCATATTTGTTAGCTCTTCGCTGTTCCACAGATGTTTGCACAGAATTCCCAAACCGGACCTGCGGGATGCCCGGGGTTTCGCCCATTTTACCGCCGAATCAACATGAGCCACACGTGACATGATGCTTGCCCCCGCCTGCGGAAGCTTAGCTGCAGTTCGAAATGCCGAAAGAACCATGGAACTCGGTTGCTTTCTACTCCCCTGCTAAAAGTTTAACTTTTAGCGGTTTAATGGCAAAAAGTTACAGTCCTAACATCCAAACAAAATGCCAAAGGGAACATGTGCTTCAAAGATCTGACCAACCTACCTGCCTCCGCACCCCACCGCACCCCACGCAAGCTGCCGCTGACCTACGCAACCTGACAGGGGAATCTCAATATCCTTTTTGCTAGTGAAAGGCAACCACCAAAAAAACAAAACGTTGCAGCTGGCTGGTGATTGGAAATCTCAATTTTGCTCTGTTTTGCTCGTACACGGGCAAATGCTCATTTCCGGCCATTTCCTGCGATCCGTTTGCGACCCGTCCCAAAAGCCAACCAGTTGGGGGACCGATTTCCACTTTGAGAAACACAAAAACACCACGACCCCGACTCGGCATCGCCTGGAGCTTGCCCTCTAACTGCCGGATCCTGGTGTCCTTCGACAGCACTTCCTGAGGTATGAATCCCGACACCTGCCTCCCTCCCTCCCCTCTCCCGAGCTACCTTGCCTCACCCTTGCCCCTCGCCCGAAGCCTCGCACACGCACAAATCAGTTAGATGGAGCTGTACGTCCACCGAACATTTTGGAGGGGTGGACCCCATTGGCAACTTGGGCGGTGCCCCCTCCAACATGGGCGGCGTTCCTTGATTTCTCTTTGAAAGGGCAATCAAAACAAAAGGGGCCCTCAAAAAGACACCCCCCTCCCCATTTGCAGGAACGTCATGGCCTAAACTACACACACACCCTGTCCTCCCTATGATTATGACTAAAAATTGCTGTTCAAGTGCCCATCCCCCATTCCATTTTTTTCGCCTATATTCAGCCGCACCGAACCCCCCCCCCCCACTCTGGGCACAGCGCGGCTTTGGACGCCTTGAGCTGGGACAAGGTCATCTCGATCTCCTTCTGCGCGGCCGCGCCTGCGATTGGTCAGCAGTGTACAGGAACCAAGACCCCCCCAACCCACCCCTACCCCAACCCACCCCTACCCCAACCCACCTCTACCCCAACCCACCCCTACCCCACCCCACCCCACCCCACCCTACCCCACCCTACCCCACCCCACCCCACCACAGCACGAAAGGTTCTTAGCCGTTTTTGGAGGGTTCTTAGAAAGGCTTGGAGCACTTCCGGCGGGGGATTGCGGGGGGCCGATGTCACTCCTTGCAACATGGAATGAAAGCAGAGGAATCGCCGATGAAACAGGCCAGGCTAGGTTTGTCTTGTTCAGGGGATCCTTCCTAAGGAAATTATATAATGTCTCATCTACTTGGAGATTTACCTGCTGTACCCTTCAAGGCTATCTGGGCAGGTTTAAAATGCTGACACCTGGGCAGGCCATGCTTCACACTTACTTTAAGAAACCAATCCTCATTGCCAATCCAATGGTGAAATTGGCACCCGACTGCCAGAACTATGCTGCACTCAAAAGCGTGCGCTTGCGTTTGGGTCACCAACGTATGTGGCACCAAACAGCAGGGGCAATTCTGCCGCACTCAAGGGAAGGTTTGGTTGGGGTCGGCTTAGGGCAGGTCTAGTGCTGGTTAAGGGAGGATTTAGGGTAGGCTTTTTCAGGGTGGGTTTGGGGTAGGCTTTCAGTACGGATTTATGGATTGTCCTGTGCGAGCTTCTGGTGAGTTTGGGGCCCAGTGCGTCAGGGGTTCGTTGGCCGCATCTGTTCATTTAGGCTCGGCACACCCTGAAGCAACCCTAAAGCCGCTCTTTGCACGTTTTCAATTTCGAGGGCAAACGAAAAGAAAGAAAGAAAGAAAGAAAGAAAGAAAGAAAGAAAGAAAGAAAGAAAGAAAGAATGAAAGAATGAAAGAAAGATGAAACAAAGGAAAGACATAGACAACAAAATAGACAGAAACAATAGAAAGACAAAGATACCTGAAAAAAAAAAGGTAGCCCGGTCCCATTTTGGACAGAGAGAAAAAGAGAAAGAGAAAGACAAAGAGAAAAAAGGACAAAGATGAACAGAAGGAGAGAAACAGAGAAAGAGAGAAAAAGACCAAGAGAAAGAGAAAAAGAAAGAGAAAGAGAGCGAGGAAGAGAAGACAAGAGAGCAAGAGACAGGAAACGAAAGAGAGAAGAAGCGCGCTCCAACTATAGATCTTATACCTTTGATGCCACCTTCCGGGTCTGCTGGACTTCACTGGTACATCCTGTACATATACATGTGAATACTTAGATGGGTTTTATCCCTGAACCTTGACTTAACCGGACACGAGAGCCAGAGACCGGGGGACAAACGACTGCGAACTGCGCCTGAGGACTGGAACCGCGAGGCCCGGCCCTCCGCGGTCTTCAGGTCGCCCTCCAGGGACCGGATCCGCTTCGACTGGGCCGACACCTCCAGCCTCGGAGCCGACGGAGCTGATGGAGCCAGGTGTGTCTCAAAGTGGGTTCGCAATTAATGTCCCAAAAACAGCGGGGACAGTGGGAGCCAGCAACTAGCATAAGTTATTGGGCAGCCACTGGGACTTGCTTCCCTCGAATGGTGGGAGTTCCTTGAACGGTTTGTCTTGCAGCGGATCCTAACTAGGTGTGAACTCCTCCTCGCAGCACAAGTCAAAACAAGTCGCACCCTAAATGGGGATGTTTCACAATTTTGATGGATCCCCAATTTCAACAGAAGCTGCTTTCGGATAGCCCAGGGCTGTTGCTCCAGGGATGTGATCACCATGTTGAGCACAAAAGCGCGCATTTTGCCAAAAACCTAAAAGACAATACATCTGCAGCTTTACAATAATTCGCAAACCAAAAAATGCGGGATCCACAAGTGGTGGGGGCGCCATAGGCAGATGATCTGCAGATGCATCCTCTGGGCCTCCCCGCTCCAAGGTCCGTATCCTCTCTTTAGAGGCGGACGAAGCACTGGAGCCTCATCACCGTTGCCGCATTCGGGCCCTCAATTATAACTCATTTAATCAAGCACAGTAAAACCTTCCAAAATGACCCCTCCTACTTCTGATGGCTTCTGTGCTTCCCTTTCGAAGCCATACAAGAACGCATGTCTTCCACGCAAAATATGCCGCCAAACCCGCTCAATTTTGCAGAGCGGAAAACGGGGGCATACGGGGACCCTTGTTGTCGTTGGGGGAACTGGAGACTGCGGTGGCTTGCTTTTGAATATCGCGTTTCTTGGATGTACATGCCTGCAGGATTCCGAAGAACGCGCCATAGCTCATGCACCCAAAGCCGAGACCCAACAAAAACTGTCCCAGAAACTTCATAGACCCACTTCGGACCAAAGGTTCAAATTGAAGCTTTCTAGGGCTATGGCTCCCCTCCACGGGTCCAGGACTGCGAAAGGAAAAATCCTCAAATCCGCTCAAGGAAAATGTTTGAACCACCCAAGGCAGGGAAAAACGTGGAAAAACAACATCGGCACTCATGTTTTCTTTGCTGATCTGAATACAGGAATCTTTAAGTCACCTCCAAGGGTAAGCAACGGCAATAGCCCGTCCGGGACGATCGGAAGCTTGCCTGGTGGGGCAACCGCTGCCATGAGCATGTTGAAAATCGGGTAACCCACTGCCCGACTGGAAGATGGCCCAAAAAGGTTCAACCCCTTTTGCCTTCAAAACCGCAACCAAACTCACGAAGCTGATGTTGGGCACCCGGGCTCTCTGCCGTCATGGTGCCAGCGTTGCGCTGGAGCCTTCGAATCAGACTGGTGGACTCGGCTATTAAGGGCAGCCAGAAAGGAAACCAGCCCGGAAACGGGAGGGGTATTTGCAGCCCTGAGCCCTACAAAACAAATCTGTCAACTCCCATTTGATTTCACATGGTGTCTTTTGTTCCCTCTTATGTCGCAGGGAACAAAGCAACTACATAGCGCAAAGCAACGATCTGGACAAGCTTTGGACTCTTCTTCTTTGGAAACCTCTACGACTGCCAATTGACAAGAGGTCGGCCTTGGCCAAGTGAGGCTCAGATTGCGTAGCTTTGATGTAGGCTGCCAAAACGAGATCGGAACCGATCAACCATTCACTCTTGAGCCGAAAGTCAGCAAACCCTCCAAACACCCCCAATGGCGACGTCCGCGCCTGGGCTCCGAGCGAGCCCGGTCTCTGGCCGGCGCCTGCTGCGAAGGCGCATCTGCAGGGTCCACCCATGCGGGGTGCGACAGCCTCTGCTGCAAATCAACTGATTGTGCTTGCTGTGTCTGCTGTGTGGGCTGTGACCGCTGCGATTGCTGCGACCGCTGCAATTGCTGCGACCGCTGCGATGGCTGTGACAGCTGCGATGGCTGCGACAGCTGCGATGGCTGCGACAGCTGCGATGGCTGCGACAGCTGAGAGGGCTGCGACAGCTGGGACTGCTGCATTGGATCTTCTTGCTGCATTGGCTGTATTGGCTGCATGTGCTGGATTGGCTGCCATGGCTGCGACGGCTGCATCTGATAATCTGAGTATGTTGGCTGTGCTGGCTGTACCGCCTGCACATGCTGCCCATGCTGGGCATGATGCACTGACTGCAACTGCATCTCTGGCTGCCACTGCGTGAGCTGCGAGTGCATCTGAGGTTCGTGATGTGGCTGGGCCGGCTGAAACTGTGCCGGCTGCATCTGATACTCCTGCTGCATTAGCTGCATCTGCGAGTGCGGAGGGGCCGCCTCGGGTACCACAGGCGGCGGCGGCACGAAGGGTGCCGGCGGCAGCGGCGCCATGGGAGGCGGCGGCTGCGAAGGGTACGGCGGCGGGCCCGGTGGGTCCAACTCATACGCGCCGCTTGGCGGGGCATATGGCTGCACCGGTGGGGGCACCGGCTTTTGAGCCTGGCCCCTCACCACTTGCCCAGACTCGCCTCGGGCAAGCAGTGCACTCAGTGCAAACGAAAAGGAGCCTGCCCGCCTTGCATCGGACGGGTAAGCGGTGTAGCAAGTTGGGGAGTATAGACAGCATAGCTCTCCCTCAACCTTGTCCTCCATGCCCCGGATCTTCGCAGACCCCCAGCCCCCCACCCAGCAAGAACGGAACCAAACAACAAAAAGACTCTTCCATAAACAGTTTCATACTCTGACCTGCTGAGTTGTCTGGCACAAAATGCATGCTGACTCTTTGGGCCTTGGCTAAGCTGATGAAGAAAAGAGCGAAAGAGCTCAAAGTGTGCCGACCTGCCTGGCTACCCTGGCCCCATGCCTGGCAGACCGAATCCCCCAAAGCGCTGGAAACTCACCCTTCTTACCATGAGGATGCGGGGGAGTGGTAAAGGCTGGTGGCGCATACCCAGCCGCAACCCATGCTCAATCACCTCCCTCTCGCAAACAAGCAAGCAGTCGCCTTCCAAAAGGGGAGCCCGAACCCCCCTCCTTCCATTCAGCCTCAGGCCCCTTCGGTTTGGCCGAGGCGCTATATTGTGCCAAGGCCAGCCCTCCATGAGACGCCAGTGGAAAGTTCCGGGAGGAGCGGGACCTTATGCGCCGCTGCTTTGAACAACACATCCAAAGGAAACCACCCTGAGAAGGGGAGCGCGACCCACGACAGGATCATGCGTTCTAGCACAGGCGAATCCTCATGCCCTGCCACCAGTGAACAGGTCTGGGGACACGGCCACTCACTGGCCCCCCGAACACCCCCCCCAAAACGTGGCAAACACGCCCAGAACCCCAGCCTCTTTGAGGCCAGCTTTCGAGAAAAGAGTATTTCTCAACAACTTGGCGTGAAGGTGGCTTTTCTGTGTTTCTTCTTTGGTTTCCCCAACACATATGCAAACCTCGCAAAATGAGAACGTCATCAGGACCCCCCCCCCGCCACCAAAAAAAGCAGGGGAAGCGCTGCCGAGATGCTGCCCGCGACGCGGCTGCTGAACCTGCCGAAGACCCCCTCAAGTTATGGGAAACTGTCAAGGGCGGTGTTCCTCTACCATGTCCACGCAGAACTCCTTGTGCTCCCTCTTGGCTGGCAAATTTGCATACCCGCAGTTCCCGGCTCCCGGAGTCAAGCACCAGCTACGATCCTCCGGCCTCGGCGTTACCAGGCAGCGCCCCGGGAAGCAGCGTGCGCTCCCTGCAGACCGGCGATAGACACCTACTGCATTTCGAAAATGTGAGTTCAACGCCAGGATAAGAGCAACAGTTGCCCCATCAAAGGGTTGGACCGTCCTTTTGTTGCAGCAAGCCTTTGTTGGAGTCATTGCTTTCGGGAAGTGAAGGGGGACAACCTATTTTCGAGCTTGGACAAAGGGACTGCAACAGCAGTGTCAAGATATGCACAACATCGTCAGCATTGTTCGGCTCTGCTCGCAACATCCCCCACAAACCCCCCCACCCCAAGCAAGGCAGAACAAAACAAAAAGCACGCCCCGCCCTCCGCTTTCCGCTTGCCGCCGGAGCCGCGGGGCGAAGGACACCGGGAAGTTGTCCAGCGACTGCGGGCGGCTCCTCGCTGGGTAGTTGGCCTCCCCTGGGCTCGCGGGCCGGCCGAGCCATGGGCTGTGCCCTTTGGGGACCTTCCCACGTTTGACGGGGTTAGGCAGACAGGAAACCCGCCGTTTTAGGGGTGCCACAATTTTGAGACCAAGCCCCATGGTGGTGGAAAACCACCAAAGTGGTTGATTGTCACGACTCCATCACTTTGAAGGAGATTCCTTTGGGATCACTCCGCCTGCAACCTCATTTGCCAATGCCGTACAAGTATTGAGTTTGACGCACGGGCACATGCACCCGGGAGGGTGGGGGCGTCATGCTTTCGATGTGCTTTTCAGGGAAGCCACAGGGAACCAAATGCCCTATTGTGGGAATGACTCTCGCCACTATTCGAATAGAAATGGATGGGCCGATGGAATAGGTGTCCTTTTAGATTCGCGTCACAATCATGGGTGCAGGGGTCCAAGAAACAAAGTCGTTACCAACCAATTTACCAAAAACAACAACGCAACGGCTATTGTTTCACAACTTCATCTCCGCCACTTGGCACGCAGAGAGTGTGAGCACTGCCTGAAGAACAGAAAGACAAGGCAACTTTCGGTGTTACCGTCATGCCCTTTTACTCCATGAAGCTCACCGTTGCTCACAAGTGACCTGGTCAAACGTGCATGAGCGTGCCACACACGTGTCTCCCTGAATAGGGATCCTTGTCAAGTAGGCGGATGTGAAGAAGCAACACCCAAAGCCAAGCCTGTGATAAGCATGGCACCCGCCACACGACCCAAGTTACGAAGTTCGCAGTTTGGTCTCCCTCCACCACGCCCGCGCAGAATGAGGGTATGACCCCAGGCCTGAAAAATATCATCTCTTTTCTTCAGGGCACAACTCGTGTGATATCTCGGGCCCAACTTGCAAACAAGAACGGCACGTTCAGCAAAACAGACCAACAGTTGTTCATGCATTCATCGCAACCCATTGCTTCAGCTTTCCCGAATTCTGTCAAGCTCCTTCGCTCCAAAGCCAGGGCGCAGTGGTGCACTTGCTGCTGCATCTGCTGCGCCGCCCTCTGCGGTGTGAACTGCAGCTGCGCGCGCATGTCTACGTCCCTGAAAGACCTGACGGGCACCAAAAATGTGACAAACCTGCCCACTGGTCCGGGGCGGGGGGGGGAAGTTATTAAAACACAGTTCTTGGAAAGAAAAGGAAAGCTACCTCTACCCACAGCCTCCGAGGGTTGCCGTCACCCCCGAATCCATCCTTGTCCTGGCATGGGTTTTGGTTTAGGGTTTAGGTTCAGGTTTAGGGCTTGGATTTTGGGTTCAGAGTTTGAGTTCGGGGTGTGGGTTGGGGGTTTAGGTTTAGGGTTCAGGTTTAGGGTGCATGTTTAGGGATTAGGTTGGTTTCGGGTTTAGGTTTCGGGTTTAGGTTTCGGGTTTAGGTTTACGGTGCAGGTTTAGGGTTGGAGTTTGGGGGTTTAAGTTTGGGGTTTAGGTACAGGTTTAGGGTTGAGGTTTAGGGCTAAGTTTTTTGGTTCAGGCTTAGGTTTTAAGTTTGGGGTTTAGGTTTGGGGTTTACCTAAGGTTCAGGTTTAGGGGGGGTGTAGGTTTGAGTTTAGGGAGTAGGTTTAAGGTTTTGGTTTAGGGGTAGGTTTAGGGTTTGGATTCAGGACTTAGGTTTTCTAGGTGAATTTCGCGCCCCTCTGCAGGCAACTGCTGGCTCATGTCTTATGAGCTCTCAAGAAGCATCGGCTAGCTCTATCTGAACGGCAGATTAAGCAGCCGGCGTCTCTGCCCTAGCGCTTGGCTATGACCAATGCGAGCAGGGGGAAACAAAGACGGAAAGTGCTTCAGGCGGATTGTCTACGTGGCGTCGCGTTGAATGAGCGTTGTTCCTCCCATTCAATGGTCAAACTACCCGCAATCCAGCCAATCCAGCCGTCCAGCCAAGGCTTCGAGGCCCATGACGTCTCTCAGGACGGCGAGAGTTGGCTATGTCCCCAAAAGTCTCAGACTTCCAGTGACTTTCGCTGACCCCAGCTTCAGCTCACTGAACTGAGTACCGGAAACCCCCAGTTTGAAGTGGCTCGCTGCTGCCATTTGAACCCCAAATCCTCTTTTTTTTTGCGCCAACGCCCTGTAGGCCCGTTGGCCATCGGTCGACCAAACCCACCCAAACGCACAACCACCTGACCCAACCCCCCCTCCCCCCAACACACAGCACCCACACGACGCGACGCGACGCGATGCACAGAGCTCCCAGGCTGTTGGGGCGAATTCGCCGCCGAGGAGGCCCGGGAGTTGGGCCGCGAGCGGATCTGCCTCGGATCGATCCCCACAAGGGCAATTGGATCTCCATTTGTCGTGTGTGAAAACAACTGTGAACATATGTACAAATAAGTGCACATATATATATATATATATATATGAATGTAAATATGCGTGTGATATACACGGTACCGTTTACAGGGCGGGCTGCACAAAGTTACCCCCGACCATGGTAGAAAAAGAGAGCCCCTTTCTTTGGATGGAATATTTTAGTGGGGAACCCGCCAAACACAAAAAGAAATCTCAAACATGCTCCCTTTGAAGAGCTTGATTGCCCGTGTTTGTCCTTAAACGAAACTTCTTTCACGAAGCAGACTCTGTCGTCATTGCTCCTCAACGCGTGCTGCTTTCATGCGGGTTGCTGGGACGGGACCCCCAGCCAGCAAAAGAGAATGGGGGGGGGGGGGGGAGTGATTGGTTTTCTTTGGAATTGTGTTGGAACACTGGCTGGAGCTTGGAGCACTCCAATTTGCCGTGCACCCCCAGGAACAAACATGGTATGGTGCACAAACCCCTTCTGGAAGACGGTGCTGCCTAATCTGTTGGCGGAAAGGTAGGCACTACATTGAGGGTGGCTACAGGGGTTGTGTCTGAAATCGACCTGCCCAAACGAGCTGGAAACATCAAAAGGTCGACCTTTCGAGAACTTGCATGAAAACACGCCGAGAAGGTTTGGGTCACCTCAAATCGACTCCTTTCAGATGCTACCGTCCCTGGATCGGACCCCATTTGTTGGAGGCCATGTGGGCCCCCCAGAAAATGGAGGCAAACCATGGACACAACTTCCAGAGGAATCCACTCCAGCGCTCAGAACCCAAGGCACATGGCTAAGCGCTGCGTCAGCTCCTCGGACCTGGCAGGAAGGTTTTGTCAACTCCTCCCGTCGATGGAACGGCCAGGTTCCATGTGGATGATTTGGTAGATGTGGAAAACTCCAGCAACTGCCCATCACCCTTCGTCTGCTTTTTTGTTTGGGGGGGGTGGACGGGTTGAACATGGGCTTTGCAACACCAATTCAAGGAGCCCTTGAGAAAGCGAGGGAGAAAGGTCTAAAATCACTCCGCTTCAGGATTCCCATGCCGGAACCCTGAGGGTTTTTGATACTTACCTTGCCAGCAGACCCACTATATTTCCTGAATGGCTAAAGTTGATTCATGGTTCTGTTTCGGGGGAACCCGCAAATCTCATAATTGTTGTTTCAGCTTTTGGTCCTTTCGAGAGGGGCCTTCAAATCACAAGGGTTCTGTTTGGAGGAACCCTCGAACCTTGTAGTTGTTGGCTTTTGAGAGCGCTGGGGTTGATGCTCGGAAGGCATACTTAGAAGCATTCAAAGGACCAAACTGGACAGTCAAACCTCCTCGCGCTGGTCCCAACCCTTATCCCGCGGTTGGTAGTGGCTGAGTGCACCCCAACTGAAGCCTCAGTTGGAGGCTGTGTTGAGCTACTGGCGGGCCATGCATTCCCCGGGTGAATTTTGCGTAAGGCAAGCCCCCTACGGCATGCAATGGTTCTGAAGAAAACGCGCGGCGTGCTTAAACAAGCGGCGAATTGATAGGGTTCCCCCCAAGTCAAATTGGGCTACCCAATCCAAAGGGTTTGAAACGGCAACATTGCCTTTGCCCCCTTTGAAGCCGGGCAGCCGGTTTCGTCCAGGGTTTATGGACCAAAGTGTTTCTGGAAGAGGCCTTGTCTTTCTCTCTGCTCTCAGTTCGGCACTCGGGCG